GCTTTCATATTTTTATTCTTTATTACCATTTCTAAAATTACCTCACTTACTAATCAATAGCTCTTTTTGTGTATCTTGAGAACCCACATTAGTTAAAGGACAAATTTTCCCCTTTGACAATCAAATCGCCTAATTTAAATTGGAATTGTGTTAGAGTTTGTTTAGGGAAAATCCATTTGGTTAACTTTAAGTTTATCATGAGACACAAATATCAAACTAAATCATTTTATTTTATTAGCAACTTAATTGGAAATATTTTAAAATATGAAATCTTTTACCAAAATTTTATTTGAATTTCAATAAATAAGATTTTGAAATAATTAAATATTATATTAATTTTATATTAGTCATCATGACTCTTTTCTTTTTCTAATTTGAAATTACTAAAAAAATAATAACAAAACGAATTAGTATTTCATTAGAAATATTAAACTAATTAAAAATTTATTATTTTTAAATTTGTGCGATATATGTTTATAAAATATTATAAATAATACTTGGAATTTTTTAGAACTACATCAACATAGTATCACCTCATCATGTTTCAATGTAACAATAATGTCATGTCAACATAATATATCATGTCAATAGTAGTGCCACATAAATAGAATAGTAGAGGGACAAAAAATTGGAAAAAAAAAACAAGGATAAAAAAAAACTAAATTTACAAGGATAAAGTATGAAAACATTACATGGACTAAAAGAAGAAAAAAAAAGTGTTAAAATCCTTAAATATAATATGCATAAATTTAATTCAAATAAATATAATTTAAAAGTTAAATAACAAAAACTATTTTCTTATAATTACTTTTTTATTTCTTTTCATTTTCCCTTGTTTAACACTATTAGATCACTTGCATATTACATAAATAATCAAAACTCTCTAATTTTTTACATATCGTTCCTTTCTTCAACATGAAAAATAGTTCCTAGGAAAAAAATACACACTCTTTGTTTTTATAGTGGTTACCATTAGTCTATCTAAGTTGTAATCTCTTTGGGCATTGCCTTAATTGTGACATAAAGGGTAATGGTTTGGTCTCACATTGATTTGATAACATTAAAATTAGTCCACAATAATACAATCATAAATAAGTTCATCTATCAATAACAATAAAAATAAGTACAAAGTACAATCATAAATAAATTTTAATAAGCTATCAACCCCAAATAAAATAATCTATATGTTAATAGGAAATAGTCAAAAAAATATATATAGGTAACTTAATGAGTCAACTCAATACGTCAATTCAACTCAAAATTCAACTCAACTTATCTTTTAAGTTGTTGGGTTGGTGGAATATAAGAGTTTGATTGTGTGAATTGGAGGGTTGAAAAGTACAATCCTACCTACCTAACTTATTTTGATGAGTTATATGGATCAACTCGTTAGATTCGATCCATTATGACACCCTATACAAAATTAACTTTTATTGTAACATGAGAATTGCTCAAGTTTTATTAAAAAGTTATATATTTTGTTGATGTAGAACTAAATCATCACTCTTGATTTTGCAATTAAGGTAATTCCTAAAGAGGTTGCAACTAAGATAGGCTAGGGATAACCACTATTAAGGCATGGAGTGTGTATTTTTTTCCTAAGGTATGTTTATGTTTAAAAAATAAAGAAAAGAAAGGAATGGTGTGTGATGAATGAGAGTTTGGAGAATTTATGCAATATCCAAGTGACCTCATAGTATTGATCAACAAGGAAAAAATAAAAAGACAAAAAACAATGTAATTATTAAAAATAATTTTTATTTAATTTATAATAATTTAAATTAAATCTATAATCATATTTAAGATTTATATACATTGTTGATTTTCCTTTAGTCCATGCATTTTTTTTTAATTTTTAATTCTTATAAAAAAAATTTCATTTTTCATCTCCATATATAATTTTTTTTTCATATTTGATCTCTTCTTTAATATGACATTTTATCCTGATATGACACAAATGACATGACATTGATAATGTGATATTATGCTAATTTGAGATGTAATGACATTATCATGATGTCATCTTTTATTAACGTAACATATGATAACATCATAAAATCAATATTTTTTAATCAAATTTTGGCAATAAATATGAAAAATAAATATTTTATAGAGATGATTTCTATAAAAAAATGAAAACAATTATAAAGACAAAAGATAAAATAGCCTTAAATTACATGTATAAAAATCATGTATAAGCTAATATTAAAATAAAAACTAATTAATCATATGAGAGTAAAATGTAAATAAAAAAATTACCTTAGACTTAAATTTCATCAAACACAATCGTGATTGGATAGTGAGTTCTATGGGAGAAATAAGAAAGAAAAAAGTTGAGTAGAAGGGGCAGTCAAAGATGGTGGAAAACGGTCAAATGCAAGGGGAGAGTGCAGAGAAAGAGGGATTGGGATTCGGCAAGAAGGTCACGTTCACATCACTTGTGTCCTTACATTTCCATCAATGGAAAAACGAATCACTGCTCAAATTTCTTATCTTCATCATCATTTCGTTGTGGCTTTCCCAAAACAAAGAAACATAGAAAACCAAAAGGCCTCCTCTCTCATAATCAATGACGAATTCGATCGTAACGGTTAAAGGACATGAAATCTGAGTTTCATCACTGATCACGATAATCATTTTCTGTGCAGACCCTCTCTCACTTTTAATCCGCATGCCATCTTCAACTTTCTAAAGCATTTCCAGAGGTTTTTTTAGCTGCATATATTTTCTTTCATCATAATCAAAGTTGTATCTCAATGCATTTGTATAATTATCAACAAAAAAAAAATACATTAAAGATATCCTTGATCCATAATTTTGATGCATATGGAGATTATTATTTGCAGAAACATAAATCGAACTCCCTGACAATATATTTAACAACTCAATTATTTATAAACCGTGTTAGTACTTTATTAGTTGTATTTAATCAGATTTATAATTCTATTTTAACAAATATAATCTTTTTTGAGGATTCTTTTTCCCTACTTATACTAGACACGGTTAATTAACACTAATTTTAAATACCTAGTGTCGTTTGTGGCTTGAAAAGATGAAATAAAGGTATTAAATAAAGTTTTAAATCCAATAGTAGAGTTTTTTTTAAAAAAAAATTTATGTAATGGCAGCAACAAAATTTTAATCTACAATTTGTATAAACTAATCAACTGTCATTGCGTGCCAAACTTAGCATGACCCAAAACTATCATCATCAGTATCATATATCTAGAATTTAAGAAATGATTGCTACAAAGTCAGAATATTTCAATAGTAGCTAGAGAAGGAAAAGACATTTCAACAAATATAAAGAAAAAAACAACAAATATAAAGAAAAAAGCTATATATATATATATATATATATATATTAAAGGAAAAATTACATAAAACAATATTGTCACAAGAGTACTTATTCCATTCAATGATAAATAATAATATTTTGTTTTGAGAAAAGTAAATTCCCACTAAAAAAATGTTATTGAAAGATAATATTGTGTACCTGTAATTTCCTATTTCTTAAAATCATTATTATTATTATTATTATTATTATTATTATTATTATTATTATTATTATTATTATTGTTATTGTTGTTGTTATACACAATTCATTAATTAATGAATAGTTTAGTTAATACAATCACAATATATGGGTGTGTATGACGAAATATAATGTACGTTGGTGTTAAAAAAAAATATAATATACGTTTCTTGCATACCTGTAAGGCTGCACTAACAGTTTCCTGCATTGCATACATTGTTCACTTGAAAAGAAAATGGTAATAAAATGCCTTATCAAAAAAACAGAATGGTAAAATTGCTAGAAACAAAGTTATTAATTTAATGTCTATTTGGACATATATATGTTAAAACTAAGACATTTATATATTTGTCACCGTGATCAATAAAGCAGCAGTGCATATTTATAATAGTAGTAATTGAACTTGTAATTTCAATTTTAAGAGTAATTTTACCCGAAAAAATATTTATAGTTAGAGTAAAATATACTTATAAATGTTTTAATTTCATGCCTATTTTAATTTATTTTATTTCTGAATTTAGGCAATTTAACATGCGATGACCATGACTCCATGAGGTCATTCTGCAGTCTTCCCTCAGCAAACCACAGAAAAGAGAACAAATAGAAGATGCCCAATTTTGACGAACATTTTTCTTTTAAAATCCTCATGGCATGCAATGCATGCATTATATACAATAAACTAATGATTCAGTTATTCAAAGTTAAATATCTAATTAATACATATATTTTTTTAATATATATATATATATACTTTAAAAAAAACATTTTACTTATTTAAAAATTTTATTCAAAAAATATTTTTCAATAAAGTAATGCACCCATGTCATTGATGAATTAATGTGATCATATATATTATCCCCAAAAGTCCTCATGCTTGCCAATTATATAGTACGGACATATGACGTGTCTTCACTTTAATTTCTGTGAAACCTCAGAACAATTTGCATGCATATCGTTGATACCATCTCACTTTATGGCATTTTCTGGCATAACTCGCCTTCACGCCGGTGATTCTGAAACAACCATTGGACTATAACTTTTTTTCTTTTGCAAGTTTAATTTTCATATTCCCAAAAGTAAAACACTATTTTTGATTTTTAATGATTGATGATGTTTAGTCTGGTTACCATCAAGTTTGTATGTTTTCAGTTTCTTTAAATAAAATAATAGAAAAAAAACTCATGCTGCTATGTTTATCTCCAATAAAAAAAGAATGGCAAGAAGAACTTTGTAAATATAAAAACGAGTGGATTGAATCAAAATAGTGGAAATTATATATATAACAACATATTGTTATCTTAATTACCATTTGTCACTTGTAAACATACCTAAAACTATTCAGAATGATCCCACAAAGCACGTAAATTTGTATAATAGTTCCTATTTACCTATTAATTTCTTGACTAGATCCCATATATAACATAACCTATTCGTGTTAAAATCCCAATAAACAAAGAAGGAGAGTTCAGAGCCATAGAGCCCCAGCTTCTTTGAGGAGAGGCACCAGAGTGCCGTTTATGTGGCTGGCCATTAGGGTTTGCACCCCACCGAGAAACTTGCCGCCGACAAAGACGGCGGGGACAGGCTGGTGTGTCCCGGAAAACTGGTAAAGGACTGACCGGATGCCGGAACCATCGGCCTGTTCGTCGAGCTCCACGACGGTGGGGCCGACGCCGAGGCTGAAGAGGAGGCGCTTGGCCACGGTGGACATGCAGCAGTCGCTCATGCTAAACACCACCACGGCGTTGCATGACACCAGGTGGTGCACCATCTCATAGGGCCTCATCATGTGAAGCCCTAACGACAACGATGACGATGATGATGACGGTTGTGGTAGTGATAATGGTGGTTGTGGTGTTGGCTCTACTTGTGTGGCAGACTTCATCACTTGCATCTTGGTATGTTGCTAGAGTAGGCTTTAGAAGTATGAAGAAATATGAATAGAAGAAATGGAAACGATGGTGGTTCTTATATAGAGTTTGAGATAGGTGAGGATTAAGGTGTGATATTATGTGTGGGAATGTTGGGACACATGAAATAATGTTACACGATATTGCATGGAGGTTTGTGTAGCGTGGTAGCACGAGTCAAAGTTGGCGGATATATGAGAGTGAGTCCAAAGGCACAAAATGAGTGAGTTTCATGCAAAAGTACGAATCAAAAGAAGAAAAAGCAAAGGGGGGGTCATCAATTGTGAATGGGGATTGGTGTTTGGTTGCTCTATGCCTCGATGAGAGAGAGAATGTGTATGGCGTCACAATCGACCCCAAATATGAAGAGGTGAAAAGGAATGAGAGATGTAGAAAGAGAGAAGAAGAAGATGATGAGTTGTAGAAACCGTAGAAGAGGAGAGGGTCACGCGTTTTTGGAAGGAGAAAGAGAAAGCAAATGAGAATTCAGAGTAGACTGACACGGTACATACATGCTACTCATGCAGGATGAGTAGTATAACTCATAAGCAAAGCAAAAGCTGGTAAACATGCATACTACATATATATATATATATATATATATATATATATATATGGTACTAAAGTTGCAACTCCTGTCTCCAGCAATTCTTCCTTGGGCTGTTAAGGGTTTTATTTGAGAAAATTAAACTCCTAAATATATATGCCCCAATCTTATGAAAAATTGAATAAACTTATGTGACATTGATTTAATGGCTTCAATTAATTTTTCATTCAGTCCCACCTTTATCAACTAATCACTTCAAATAGTTTGTTCTGAATTTTTTTGTTTATTATAACAATGACATTTTGAATATGATAACACATAATTAATTAAATACATTCGCCCCACACACATATATATTTTTTTTGTAATTAACAGAATGATAGTATATATTGGTCACCAAATACTTTTATTTATATTATATATATAAAAAAAATATCATGTTTTAGTTTTAAATTTTCTTAAGACATTTTTCTTTATTTTATTTTATTTTATATTTGTTTTAAATTTTGTTTATTTTATTTACAGTAACATACAAAAAGTGTTGTTATATATATGTTGATATAAATCTATTTGATATATAACTATACATAATTTTAATGTCGATTTTGAATGAGATTAATAACATATATATATATATATTTGTAATTAACAATAAATTAACATATATTATTTTTAGTGATAATATGTGTCATTATATAATAAAAGTAAGTTTTAATAACAAATATTATATCATTATAAATATATCATTGACAATTTTTTTTATAGTGTTAGTAATTTATATTATCTTCTCTAATAACATATAACAATCACAATTAAATAATTATTTCCTTTCATTGAATAAAATCACCATCATTATTTTTTTAATAACTTTTATTATTTTTATTTTTTAAATAAATATGTAGAGACACATAATATTTCTTTTTCTCTTCTATATTGATTGTATATTTTTTTGTCTCTACATTTTGAGATTATTATATTTTTTATAATTATTTTCATTCATTATTATGTAATATTGTTTATACGCTCTAATTATTTTTCTTTCTTATGCTATAATACGTGTATTAAATTGAGTCCATTTTTTTATATTTAACTTTTTATTTATACCTGTCTGAGGGTACACTCGTAATCTTCTAGTAACTAAAGGGCCGATCGAGAGTTTCAGGTAGATACTTCAGAGGGGGGAGGTACCTGCAAAAGGCACTCTGACGCTCAAGTCAGGACAAGCACGATTCTCTAGGGTAATAATGAACAGTGACATACCTCATTTCGTGTGACTTATTTATAGTACCTGTCATGGGCTTGAGCATGGTGAGCCTTCTCTAACACTTACCAAATTAGGTAATACGATGCTAATCAGCTGGTTATGCTTTAATTACGTGTTGTCCCTTGTTAACCATGATTATCGTTATAACTATTCTGTTGGTCCTTGGCCGAGCCGATAGGGGCGGGCGAGAAGACCTTTCGGCCTATGGCCGAGCCGATAAGAGAACGGGCGTTCTCTGAGTTCTCGGCCCCTTACCGAGCCAAGGTGGTGTCTGAGCTGCGTCAATCTATGATAGGACATAACGTGCCAGACAATGTGGCCGATCCACGTGGCTGATAGGATCCTTCCGGTACACAAGCCCCCTAGCCTTAAGGAGTGAAACGACGTAAAGGGTAGAAATGACTTTGCAGTTATGACGGTTGGGTTTGAGTGTGGAATTGTAACCGTCGGGACTTATTTGTGGGAATTTGAAGTGTTGTAACCGTTGGGTTGGTAACCGTTGGGCAATAATGACGGGGATTGGAAAGGTTGTGGCTCGTGGATCGTTGGATCAATTTGATCCAACGGTTCCCAAGGGGTGTGACGGTTCATGTGCGTTTCCAAAAAATGCTATAAATAGGCATGGTGGGGACCAATATTGATGTGTTTACTTGTTATAGCTTGCATTTTCTCCGAGCCGACGTAGAGACCACGCTTGAGCGCTTGTTGCCAACCGAGACCGACTTCGCGAAAAGGTACGTTTCAATGGTTGATTTTGAGATAGATGTAGATGATAGGGTTTCTCAGGTCGACTCTACTAGGGATACCGGGACGGGTTCAGCCGGCACGGGTTCACGTGGGTCGACGGAGCAACAGGGTGTGTCGGCGTCGGCATCAAACGGCTCGGCCAGTGTGGAAATGATCAAGGGGTTTGAGCACTCACGAAGTGTGGAGGAGGCTTCTTCTCTCGAAATGAGTGAAGGTCGACCGACTACTCGAAAGGTTGGTTTGGCCTCTCGCCGCTTCGGCCCTGTAGAAGTCTCTGGTTATAGATGGGTGCATGGAGAGGTAGGCAGCATGTTTTCGCATTATAATGATAAGAGTTCGATTGCGTTGTTGTTCGATGTCGAGAACTTTGTTACGCTTCCGGAGGATGAGGTGCCGTCCGGTTTCTTTTTCGAATCATGCCGAAATGACGACTCATGGGAGTCAGATTTTGTCTTTCTTGGCCGAGAGAAGTGTAAATACAATTTCTTCTTTGTATATGACTACCTGTTTAGGGATTTGGGGGTTACTCTCCCTTTTGACAAGTTTTTTGTCGGGGTGCTTCGGTTACTGAACGTGGCGTCGACGCAACTCCATCCAAATAGTTGGGCCGCGATGCAAGGGTTTCGGCAGCTATGTATAGCACTTGGCATTGAGCCGACGACGAACCTCTTCTTGTACCATTACGCCTCTCGGCCGACGAGGAAAGCTAAGTGGTTGTCTCTGTTTCGTGGGGCTAACTGCTTGCTCCAACCATTCACTACATCCTACAAAAGATTTAAAGTAGGATTTTTTAAGGTTATGATTCGGCCTGCTAACGGCAACAAATATTTCTTTGATGCCGAAGGGAGACCGTTATTCCCATTGTATTGGACTCGGGCGCCGAGGAAAACGGGTCAAATGATGCTGGGACAAATGAGATCGGCGCATAAGTGGACTTTTTTCTACGAGTTTCAAGCTCGTTCCCTGGCCTTGGTTCAAAGCATTATGATGCAGCCGAGTGCCGAGGCCAAGAGCCTACGCCGACAGCTGGCTGAGTCGGAAAAGTCCATGCAGGAAGCCTTGGCTGCCCTGTCCGAGGCACAAGGACACGACAAAAAATGCGAAGCTGAGCTGGACCGTCAAGGTCGTCTGAACAATGACCTTGCTTTGAAGGTGCAACAACTAGAGAACTCTCTAAAGGCCGAGTCTGAGAAGTCGGCCAAGCTGGCTGGGGATCTAGAGGCCGAGAAGAAGGCTTTCGGCGCCTATAGAGAGAGGGCTAGAAGCAAGGTTCTCTCTCAGCACGAAGCTGGCTTTGCTCAAGCGGCGCGTCAGGCCCAGCACTTCGGAAGTCTCCCGTCGGACTTTCAGTTCAATATGTCGATGGACTTCTATCGGGGGGAAATACGTCAACTTGACGCAAATTCCTCTGAATGAGCAGCCGGATGCCGAAGCACCAGCTCGTCGCCCGGCCGAGCCGACCGGTGGTGTGGAAACGGTGGTCGAGGAAGAAGCTTCCGAGGAAGAGGCGCCGGTGCAGGGGGAGACCGAGGCGTAGTCTTGTTTTCTTTTAACTTTTTTGAATGTGTATGCATGGGCCGATAGAGCCTTAATGATTTTGTACTTTCCGAGCCGATAGTGCCCATTTTAATGCAAGTTTCTTATTTCTGTCGAATGTATTATGTACTCTGATAATATTAACATAGTGAACTAAGTCACGCCGAGTGGATTTTCAGAAGTTAGGTTGATAACACGTCGCATCCTTAGCCGAGAGACATCTCGGAAGGGGAGACGATGATTGAGATAAGTCACGTCCTTGACCGGGAGACATCTTGGGAGGGAAGACTTAATAATTGAAGTAAAAGTCACATCCTTGGCCGAGAGATGTCTCGGGAGGGAATACTTGTATAAATTGAAGTCACATCCTTGGCCGAGAGACATCTCGGGAGGGAAGACTTGTATAAATTGAAGTCACATCCTTGGCCGAGAGACATCTCGGGAGGGAAGACTTAAAATTTTTTGCAGAAATGTAAAACGAGTCATAGATAGTTGAACTGTATTATCATTGATGAATGGATGCCTCGTTAAAAACCTTGCCGGCCAAAAACCTCTTTTTACAATTTTTTAAGAGGAAAAAAGACCGGTTCAAGGAAAAGAGTGCATCGTAAGACATTTACACATGTACATGAGTTAAATTCTAACTGTAATAGGTCTTCAGATGGGTAGAATTCCATGTCCGAGGGATGACCTTGCCAGATAACTCTTCTAATTTGTACGTGTCGTTATTGAGAGCGTGTCAGACCCGGAATGGGCCGTCCCAATTTGCTGCCAACTTTCCTTCAATCGGGTTGTACCGTGCCGAACCAGTTGCCCTCCAAACGAGATCACCTTCTTGGAAGTTCCTCGGCTTCAACTTGGAGTTAACTCGCCGAGTCATTCTCTGTTTACACACCTCGACTACGATTTG